GAACCATCTCAGTAAGCATCCCTGCACGTCTCCATTCCATCAAGATAAATCCATCTGAAGGCGGCAGACAGGGATAGAAGTGAATCTTAAACAAACACACATTGCAAGTGAGCTAGAGGAAGTTATTGCTAAGTCGTGCAATGCAGCAACAAGTTTCCAAAAACATCTGCATGTGTATAAACATATATTTACAAATATTGTAAGTTTCCTAATGCATTAGAGAGTGCTCTTGCCTTCCTGTAAAGCAAAGGACTTCAATGGCTGGCTGCAAATTCACATGCTGAGCATGTGCAACTCCTGCTGAGCTGAAAGCAGCAGGGTGTGGGAGAAATTTACAAGGTCCTTTAGTAGATAACTCTAAATTTCCCCTCTCTTTGGAATATAATAATACTAACCGATCAATAATATCTAGTTATTTTGATTATCAATAAGCTTTACTTTTGCTCTGCAGGGTGTTGTTTTCCTGAACTTCCATCACAATACATGCACTTGTGCATATGCATATGTGCACCAGGCACACTTATCTCCTACAGAATGTTCTGTTGAGTTCCACATTACCTAAAAAGGATTAAAACTTCCAAGCCTTCTCTAAACTTGAGGCTTTGTGGGCATCTTTCTCCGTCATTTTACACAAGACACTTTGTGTGATAGTCAGTTTGCTCAAGTGAATGAGGTCTAGGGCAGGAACCCCCTATACCTCATGGCTCTCACTGGCTGCTCAGGGCCTTGAGCACTGCAGTATAGGCTAATGTATAGGAAAAAATAACACATAGGAAGCATCAGAAGTGAGAGATGAGAAGGGCTTTGTTAACAGAAACTGGACTATGGAAAACAGCATTGCTGCATCCACGTTCTTGAGCGAGTAGCATGATTCCTGCAACAGGAGACTGTAAAAGAAGGTCTCTGTTGTGACATCGTTCCCTTCTTACTGAACTCGTGCTCCTACTGCTCACCTTTAAATGCACCAGCACATTCTTTAGCATTTAGTCTCTGAAGAATATGTAAAGCCTATGCTCTTTTCAGTTTATTCACAGTACATCTTATATTGACAGGTTGTGTGACTTCATTAGCTATTATTTGTACTGTGTTTCACCAACTGCTACCTTCCCACACTGTCACAATGACCTCACATACTGACTTCTGCCACTCCTGCCATCACAGCCTAAGCCTTGTTAGCTGACTTAGCAACCTTCTGGCACTACCAGCTTGGGTTCAACTGCAGCTCCACAAGGCCTCCAGAGCCAGGCAGAGCATGTAAACTGCCTGGGCACTTGCTGCCTTGTCCCCTTTCTGCAGCTGAGCCAGCCTGCATAGTCCTATCCTAAGTTGGCTCCTACTGCCTGGGACCACATTCCTTAGTAGCCACAAGCACTGGGAACCCCATTACCACCAGCACTTACCTCCCACACCAGATTGATGCTGTTCTCTGCCAAACTCAGTCAATTACTTCCCACTTTATCACCTTGGCTAACAGGCAACATGGACAGAGCCAGCACAGCTCCAACAAGGCCAACTCTGCCACTGCCAGGGCAGAACTACAGAGACATCCACTACCCAGACAAAAACCAACCCCATCTCCTTCAACACCAAGGGAGCTCACTCAGCTATAAATCCTGCCTGAAGACCAGTGCAGGTGTTTGGCATGAAGGGAGTGCATTTATTCCACCTGTGAAAGCTTTTTTTTGGTTGGTTGCTTCTCCCTGTCCATCATCCACATGCTTCAGTATGAGAGTCACACTCCTTTTTTAAAGTTTTCCTTGTGTGTCACTGCTACACCTGAAGTACAAAAGGCTGGGACAAGGGTCCAGCAAGTTTCCCCTTTTTCCTTCCTTCTTCTCATACCAGCAGCATTCTCAGGGCAGTCCCACCAGTTTCTCCCTGCCAGGGTATGCCTGCTTCCCCTAACAGGAGTCTATCAGCAACCTCTCCAGAAGGAGAATCTGGGATTCAGCCAACAGCTCAGAAGGGAGATGTTGATGAATAGTCATTCCCTTCTGTCAGGACCAGTGTCTCTGGAAGATGGAACATTACTTTAAACCATGTCCAAAAAGCATTAATATGATCTAAGAAGAGATTTTCCCACCAGCAGAGATCACATCTATGATCACACTAGATCACACAGATGATGTTTACACACTAAGGGCTGTGCCAGCCCAAGGACCTGAAGGAACCTATTCAGAATGAGAAATCCTGACTCTTGCACTTGACCAAGGCCAGGTAGCTGAATAGTAGATTATAAACTGTAGGGCATTTTAGTGTAATTCCTGGTAAATTTATAACTATTTTCTCTCCAAAAGCAATTATCTCACCACCTGCAGGATGAGGCAAATGGTTTAGTGTGTAAAATCATTATCATTACTGATATGCCAGATATTTCTGGAGACAAAAAAACCCAAACACCTATAACCAAGGCAGAGACTGACCCAACAATTGAAGTGGAATCAAAGAGACTGTTTAGAAACAGAACTAACAAAAAACAAGGCCAGGCTTTTTTTTCTGCATGGGAGACATGCATGGCTGCTTCAATATACATGTTTTTTCATTGATTGTGAGTGAATCTTAATCTTCTGGATTTCCCCTTTCAGAAGTCTTTAGTTTCCTTCCTGTGGCAGAAACAGGAGATTCCCTGCGGGTCATATTTCAGGATGTTTGTATTCACACATGGACTACAAGAAGGCAGTCACAATGCAGGGCATAGGCACATTGTGTTTTGCTGCAAAAGGGAATACAAGGAATCTGGGAACACTTGAAGTTGCATTTCTCTAAAGCCTACACCTTAAGGACATTTTGCCTGTAAGTATTAACAGAGTTTGTTTTCCTTATCTTGGTGTTGTATTATTGAAGTTTTAGAATAGCCTATGTCTTGATAATTTGCAGCATTTTATTTGCATTTTGACTGAAATGCCTCATTGCACTTCAAAAGGTTGAAAACAAATCTCTTAACATCAGGCATACAAAAATCTAGGGGAGATAACAACAGCATTGTCTATTCTGAATTAGACATAACCTCTCTAAGATGTTGCTTTCCATTGAAGAGAAAAAACAACTAAATGCAAAAATGCATTAAGTCACACCCACTTGACACATAACTTCATAGAAAGCTATGTTTGGGAAACTGGAGAGTTTCTCCTTGAACCTAGAAGAGACTTTTAATCCTGTCAGAGACTCTTTAAACACTGTTCTGCAAGAAGTGCATCGTTTGCCTGTCACAGTGACTCTGTCAGTCACGTTGAAAACTTGACACTGCCTTTCTCTGCAGCCCCCAGCATGTGCCCATACTATTGACATTAACAATTTGACTTCAGGTGGAGTAATTTTTAGTTTTGTAAATTGTTTTTTTTTGTCCTTTTTTTTTTTGGGGGGGGGGGGTGTAGGCAATAGATAAAAACCCTAGCAGACAATTTAATAGCAGTTTGTCACAGCATTTTTCTCAGGAAAAGGCAAAAAAGCACAGGCAGGTTTCTCCAGTGGACCTAAGCTTTTGGTCAGTCATTGTCATGTGCAGCATGGTATTGCCTGGAACAGATGTGGAAACCTATAGATTTAGTTGGGTGTCAGAAGTAAATTTTTGTTTGTAACCCACCACATTAGGTGAGTGAGGCCAGAAAATAACCAACCATTTCTGGCCACCACTCCCAACCATACCATGTTCTGGCACCATGCAGTCAATCACTGAAGAGACAGAAGCAAAGGAAAACCCTTAAACCTCTCAATCCAACCAGGTAGCTCAGCAAAGAACTAGAGTGACAGCACTTGGGATCCTTCAGATTTTCCCAGAAGAGGCCTCTGCAGCTTCAGTGGCACAAGTGTTGGAGACTGTGCAACCTCCTTGTAGCTGACAGGCAACTTCAAGCCAAGTTACTAAAAGGAAAGGATTTGATTTTGCAAGGAATTAGATCTTTGGGGTAAGGCAAAGGGAAACTTGAAAGATTCCTAAATGATGCTACAGGCATGTAATTTAAAATCAGAAGTATAAATAAATGAGAGAAACTATATCTGATTTTAAACAAAGAAGAAAACCTTTGTGAGACAATAAAAACCAGCCCAGTGTGCAAGGTGTAGGTGCTGTGTACACACTGAGAGTGTGACATTCTGTTAAAGCACATAAGGTTCTGTTAAAGGCTTGTTTAACAAAACTTCAGAGAAGTCCATGTCAATACATCAGAGAATTCTGCCTCCCTGCCAGCCTTGCTTCCTGTAACTGCCACAGCCTGGCTATGCCAATGAGCAAGTTATTTAACTTAGTCTCAGCTTTACAGTGAGATTCCCATCTCCTTGGTAATATTGGAGGAGAAATTGCAAAAATCAGTTGACATAAAGAAAACCAGATACTGTTTGTCCCTTTGGAAATGGTTATACTAACCCACCTCTTAGAAAGCTGTGTTGTTTATTTAATCACTGTCTATAAATTGCTACAGACTTGCAAACTATTCTAACTACCATACTGTTATGACTAGATTTTCTAAATATCTATAGGCCAAGCTATGGTTATTTTATACAGGGCTGATCACGCTGCTAAGGCAGTGTCAGAAACATTAGGGATCCAATATTCCTTGGTTACAGGTGTTGCATGTAATGCAGAGGAAGAGACAAAATGAAATTCTGTTGGCAGCAAAATGAAATTCTCTTCTCACCACTTCCTAGGCAAAAAATTTCTTTGGTCTATAAAAATGTATACATTTAATCATTAATTATTTTATAATTGTTTTATAATAGAAGAAAATCTAGCATACATGGTCTATTTTATAATATTAAATATTATTATGTGTAATAGTATACTTGAATAATAGATATAATTATATATAGTTCCTGATATATTTTGCTATATATTATTTTATATAGTTTAATAATCCCTCTGAAAAGAAACACTTGTGAGATATTTGTTATTTTGTTAGGCAACCGTGTGTGCAGTGAAATGCTGCTCAGCAGCAAGCAGAACAAAAGGAATTAGCTTGAAGGTTTTTGCTCTCTTTACTATCTAGTTGGAAGAAACAATCTGGATGGCTTCTACTAGCAAAAGAAATTCTGCAGGTACAAAATTTTGTTTCCTAAGATTCATTTTTATTAAGGTTGAACCAGGTTTCAATCCATTCTTATTAATGTATGATCCTATTGTCTTTGCCCTCCACTTACCACAGATTTTATGGTAAACAAAAGGAGAAAATTGGGGGAAAACAATATAGGGAAAATTTGGAGATCTCATTTGGACTTACACTGTGGTTTAATTCTGCTCCTCTGCTTTCTTCTGTAAGGAATCCATCCTAAATGGAGCATTTCTCTTTAGATCAGAAAAGAGCAGTTTGGTCATGTCATATTTCCCAGAACTTACATATATTCACTTCTGTCCTTTGTTGGGGGACAAAATGAGGTTGTTTGTGCTCCCTTCAGTCACCTGATTCTTTAAAAAATCTTAATTTCCCATACACAGTTTATAGCTTAAAATTTGCAATGAGATTATCACTTCTTCCATTGGGTGTTAAAGGGCATGAATAAAACTGAGGGTTTCATTCAGTAATTAGAAATCTCAAACTACAATTGTCTCCAGACTATGCAAATGCATTCAGGCATTTTTCTCCCAAGGTTTTAGGTCATATTTTACTTGTCTTTTTTCTTGTAATCACATCGTGATACACAGTGTAAGATGATCGATCCTTAGCCGTGTTTGCAACCTGTCCAAATTGAATGCCATCTACAGATTTCATTAGGAGGTTGTTTACTGTCTTTCAGATCACTGATTGAGAAGTTAAATAAGATCAGGCTCCAGAAGCTAAATAAGACCAGTTAAATAAGACAGAGGCTCAGAATATCATCCAAGTCCCCTACATTGTCACTGTCATTTCTTTACAGGTTGGGTTACTTGTCAGCAGTAACATTGACAACAGGGAAGCATAGCCTGGCACTATATTTTATAGCCTTGATTTGTGTTTTTGTCTTCTCTAATTGTAATATGCTTTATGGCCATTTAAGCACAAAAACCAAGTGCTGAGCAACAATATCCAGTGCAAGAAGGTCTTTGTAAGAGATTAATTGGCAGCAAATTGAGTAATGGTGCTGTTCATTTCTCTTTGATTAGTGGCAACTCAAAATGCGTTTTGCCCTGAAGCTGGAGTCTGCAAGCATGGATTCCTCATCAAATCACCACCTCTTCAACTTCTTAGCTCACAGGTATACTAGCAGAGATTAGACATATTCCAGCAGTCCCTCAACAAGCATCTGTTGTTTCTGCTATCCTGAATTTTAATGAGACACAAATTACTTTCTCTTCGGCAGAATTCCTGGAAAAGACGTTTTTTCATCCTGTTCAAATCCAGCAAGGGCAATTACTTCCTGAAGTATCTAAAAGGCCAGAACATAAAAGGCTCCATAGCTGTTGATGAGTATGTAACTGAAATTCATCACTTCTTTATTTTAAATCATGTCTCAACATGCTTAAAAGCCTTTTGATTGTACAGACCCTTGTTCCTGGGGTTCTTGATTCAAATCCCACTAAATCAAGGAAGGAGTTTTTTTGGGCTCCCATAGGCTTTAGGTGCAATTTATACTGTATGATACATGTAGGAGTAAAAATCCTAAATGTTTTCAATGAAATTTGATACAATTACACGAGCAGCTGTGATGATGTGGTATCTGCAAACCAGATGTCTTGGTTCCATGATCCCAAAGGCTGTATTCCTTTAGTAGAAGATATTGATCTCCTCTGAAGACAGTACTATGTGTTCAGCCATGTGTGAGTAAGGATGGGCTATACTACTCTTAACCGTGTGGCACACAACCCTTCCCACCAAAGGGCTTTGCAATTTGTGCAGAGAGGTCTCCTTGATCTGATGCTGGCTACCCCACTGCCTCTTACTTTGTCAAGAAAATCCTCTGTTTGGCTCATTTGGATTGGTCATTTCGTTCCTTTCAGCACAGTGCTGAATCCAGCAAGGCTGGGTGTCATTAGCTTTGTTCCAGCAGCTTTTACCGTGTCACTTGTGGTATGAGATACATCAAAGGGAAACAATAAGTTTAAAGGGAAACATAAAGACTTTATCAGTCAGACCTGGAGCTTAATACTCCAGGCTCCTGGAATTGTCAGGCATGGAGGTCACTAGACTCACATTGCAGTTGCACTTCTTCCATTAAAAGGTTTTACACTGTGAAGCTTTTGAAAAAACCTCATCTTGCTCAGTGGTATGTGGTTATGTCATTACCATCATTATTGCTTTTGTTATTTTTAATAATTTAACTTCTTGGAAGCTAATGGAAGTAGTGCTTCCATTTAAGTATTCATTCAGAATACTTCTTGTCTGTGCCTCTTCCCCTCCATTAAAACACTGTTAGTGTACAATTAGTTTCAAATAAAATGTATTGTTCTGTAGTAGTTAAAAAACATCCGCTAGGAATTTTTCTTACTATCATCTATTTTGAAGATTTTGTGTTAGAACAAAACCCCCTTTTTCAGAAATGAGGATCTAAAACCTGTACACGAGTCTTTGCAGAAGTTGGGCTTATTTTTTTGCATGAAAATTTTATTCAAGTCCATCTGTTTTAAATATGTGTGCTAATTTTCTTGAGAATTTTTTTTCTGTAGAAAAAATGTTTATTTTTTTCCCATGCAGATCTCAAATTATGCTGTGCTTAGCATAAAATATGCATATATGCACACACATGTAAGTTTATATGTATGTTTTCAGGTATGTATGTATAGTTATACAGGATGTTTCATATGGTTATCTTAACAGAATCATAAATATCGAAGTTGGCATAAGCAAGTCTGAAATTATGGAAATGGTGAGGAAGATGTTTAAATGCCTTCCTGAACAGGTGATGTCCATCAGCACTGGCAACAGATGTTACTACCTTATTGGGAGCAGCAGGTAGGCACAGAAAGATGTGCAAATGCAATGTGACATGACAGTGAAGTGAAAGTAATACTAGGACACTGCCCGAAGGCAAGGTCCTACTCCTTCACAGCTGCTCCCATCACTTGTTGTGTCTCAGCTGCTGATTGCACAGCTCAAGGATGGAAAGATTCAGCTGGATGATCCAATGGAAAACTGCTCTTTTCTGTGTTGTTTTTTTCCCCTGTGGCTGGGTTAATTTTTGCTGTTTCAGGCAGGTGAGTTAACCTTCCCTGCAGCCACCCTGTTAAAACATCCAACATGTGAAGGCAGTGGGAGCACATGGCTGGGAGTGGGGAGCAGCAGCAGTACCTGAGTGTGGTGGTGCCATGTCAGACTGTGCCAATTAAGGGTCAAGGGAGAGCAGAGAGATTTGTCTTCTCACCCAGTAGGTCCTGGAAGTCAGGAAAGCTTCTGCTCCTTATGGGTGAATCATAGGAAATAATCTTGCCGTGGAAGGCAGATTGTTAATCAAGGGAAGGAGACTGAAGGGGAAAATTCCCCGGAGGGAAAACAGATCCCCCCCAGAAAAAGACTGAGGACTTTACTGCAGCAGGATGGTGTGACCCCTGCTCTCCCAGGCTGCAACCTAGGCCTCAGCAAGGGCAGAAACTGCTGCTGTCCAAGTGATCAGCTAAAGCTCGGTAAAGTGAGGGAGGACATTTGACATGGTGCTCCTCTGCTGCTGCTTCCCAGCTTCTCCTCTTCAGTTTTACAGCCACAGGCATGTCAGGAGTTTTCTGCCTTTGTTCAGAGGAGCAGCTGATGTGTGAAATGCTGATAACCATAGAAGAAAAACACATACCTGTGTGTTACTTGAGCGTGTCACCCCGTGCCTTCCCCCAGAGCACTGTTCTCACAGCCCAACCTCCGTGGGAAGCATTCCAGACTTTATCCAACTGAATCTACCACAAACATGGAACAAGGCTTTGGAGGTCCATGACATGTTTCTTGTTCTGCTCACCCAAACACACTCTCAAGCCTTGTTATCTGTCTTTATGGCAGGACTAGGCAGATCAGCATTAAACACAGAAAATTAATCAGAAAGCACCATCCCACCTCTCCATGTCTCTTACATACTTGCATACCATTTAGCTCCCAGTCCTGGGCTGCACCTCTCTGGGATGGAACTTTCCCATCTGGCTGTGGCCACCTGAGCACTCTGTCCTGAAGGGAAGGTGCAGATTTTCCCAGTTGATTTCAGGAAGGGTTATTTTGGGCTCCATATGGAAAAGTGGGAAAGCAAATGTTTTTTCCTTGTGTTTTACCTGTGAGTAGGTTTTCATTTCTGTTTCAACCTACAGGGAGGAAACAGAAGACTGGGTTACTGTCATATCTTCAGTCTCCAGGGACGCCGAAAGAGGTGGATGCTGCCCCCAGGTGACATGTTACTGCACTTGATTTTAGAAAGAAAAGTTTGTGATTTTATTAGGAACCTGTGCAGAAACATTTTCCTGATTTTGGCCTTGCAAGCTGGCTTTTGCCTTGGTTAATTAGAAATTCATTTTCCTTATAAGTCCTGTACCTTGGCTTTATGCATTCAGCAGGCATTGCACTGCCTGTCTGCACTGGGTTTGATTTTACATTGAAAAGTAAGCCATGTGGAAATTAGATGATTGACATTATGCTGTACTTAATTGCACCTTTGATGTGTCAGAATGAAAACCTGTGTGTAATTCTTATTGTATGCTTTTTGGTTATATTTAAAACTAATCCTTATCTGGTCAGTCAATGTTATGAACCAGCTGGAAGCCCTGATAGTTCAAGCTCTGGGTCAAGTTTCTGCACCTTGTCAGCACACCAGACCTGCTAGTTCAGACTCAGCAGTGAGCTTCCTACATCCCTGCAGCTTCCAGTCAGCACAAGTAGGGCAAAGTTATTGCTGCCTGAGAAATGCCATGTAGACAACCTCTCTGAGCCATTAGAAGTAAAATTTAGACTAGTGGAATGTGTTGGCACATTTGCCCAGGCCCACCAGGTGCCTGTCTTCTTACACTGATGTTCTGTTATTTCTAGAACCAAGAGCTTCCCTGCCCAGCAATCAGAAGCCGACCCTCCTCTTTGCCACTACCCTGGAATGCTATAGATCCAATGAGTTTCCCAGAAAGACAATGCTACCAGAAGGTAAACAAATTAGTCACCCTTACAAATGAGTTTGCTTCTAGAGGTGGTCGTGACCTTTGATTTGAATAGCTGCTTTTTTCCCATCAAAAGTTCTTCAGAGCTTGTACAATGGGTGCCTGGATGGTCTGTTCTGCTCTCTGGTGGGGTTCCTCAGTAGAACCTGGATGATAATATCAGAGAGTCTCCATAAAAGAAAGATTTTTGAGAAAAGTCCACATGTAAGTAGAGGCAGGTGTTGTTGACAATGAGAAATAATATTCTCTGACTGTCCCAACCAACTGGCAAAGAGCAGTGGGCATTCTTGAAGATGCTCTTTCACCTGCCTAGGCGAAGTCATATGATGCTTGTTTTGGCAGCTGCTAGCCACATTCCTCCAGATTGTGATTGTGCTTTTCTTTCTCTCTCTCTTCAAGCTGTAAAGCTTAGAGTGGATTGAGGTCCAGCTCCTCTGTGCCTTCCAGTTCTTCCCCCTCAATATTTAAATAGAAAGGAAGGAAAGCATTGCTGCTGTCCCAGAGGAGCTGCAGTCCCTGTCTTCTGGTGACAGGCTGAATAGCAGCCAAGGAATTGCTAGTTTTCTCTAGTCATAAAGCTGTGTGCAAATGGCCCAGCTAGAAGAAGCTGAATGCAGGTCAACCACCTCCAGTCCTTCAGTGTATCTTTAGGAGCAGTCTACTTTTTTTTTTTCTTTTCTATACAGGAGAATGGTTCTTCCGAAGACAAGAACAGGCCTAATTCAGACCCTGGTCCTCATCAGGATCACTGTGACTCACCAAGAGGATTTTTTCCAAGCCTGGTGAGCAGAGAAAAATCAAACAGCTTTGACTTGTTCAGTCTGCAGAAATTACTATTGGCTTTTACCTTACCTGAGCATCTGTAACTCTTCACCTACTTTCCTAGCACACAGAATTAAGCAGAATTAACAGAACAGAAGGCACAACCAAGGCTCAACCACACCACTATACAGTTTGGCAGCTGAGTTTAAGCCCATCTTTACTGGCAGTTTATGCATTGGGCTATGATCTGGAGTGGCTGAGTTACAGGAAAAAGAATCTGTTCTGCTGTCATAGCTAACAAGGTGGTAAAGCATATGCTGCAGTCACCATTCATATATATAGGCTGGCAGCAAGTGTGATGTAGTAGTGCTAAATATAATGGCAAGAAGTGAAAATAGTTGAAATTACATTGCAATGCCATGGGCAATTAGCACAGTCCTTGATGAAACTGCAATAATCCAGTTGAAATCCAGCTCTGAAATGCACTGAGTTAACCCTTAGTCTGAATGTAACTACTGCTGCTCTGGATGCCTGCCAAGGTTCCTTTCCTGTCTCTTTCTCCTGCAGGCCTTGGCTCAGTCTTTAATTCTTCTCATACTTATGGTGCCTCAGAGAGCATATATCATATGCAGCTGTTCTGGCTAGAACAGACTGGCCATGAGGGTTAAAAGATAAGGAATTTGGATTTTACCTTTTTAAGCCTGAATCTAATACTTCCATTTCAGCATGTGTGAAAATAAATAACCGTTTCATTCAGTTAACAAGAAACAAAAGTTCTTGTTCATTTGATAAAAATATTTCACTTGACTCACAAGTTTAGCCTCTGCTAACATCTCTGGACCTATTCTCTACTCAGTGATGTCTAGACAGCTGACTTCCAGATTATTCCTTGTATTTACTTCTGTTTGGAAGACTGGCTCCACATTTCTAGTACCTGATTTATTTTGCTTTTTATTGGTAGTTCCCTCATCCAGGCCCAGATCCTGAACACTCTTTGATCAGTAGCTGTTACTCATGCAAACAGGAGTCTCAATGTCACTTGAGTCTTGTCACACAGGCAGGGACCCTGGAAAGGTGAGGGCTCCCTTTCAACCCAAATTTTGGAGCTACCAATCCACATCTGACTCTGCAATTCAGTATCAGCTATTTTGATACAGTTTCAGTACCTGAAATACCTGAGTAAGAAGCCCTGACTCCCATCACCCTGCACTGCACATTCCTGTGTTGGGGTGTCCATGCTGGGATGTGTCAGACACACAAGTTCCTCTATCCAAGGGCAACACGTAACTTTCCCTAAGAAGCCTGTAATTAACAATTACTCCATTGTTCTCCAGGTATCTTTTCCATCTTGTGCTACAGCCAATTTTCTCCATAGTCTGCTTTCTAATGTAAATCCCCATCATGGTTCAACAGAGGCTTAATTACTTGTTTAGCTGTACAGTTGAGAATAACTGCACATTGAGGTTAACTGCACTTCCCTGGTGGTAAAGCACCTGCAGGAATGGAGATGTCAGTGAAGTGCTTGAAGGAAACACAGAGCTGCTGCAGCTCAACCTTCCTCTTCCTGTTGTCCTTTACATCTGTGAGGGTGCCAAGGAGAAGCACTGTGCATTTGGCAAAGGGTGGCACTCTCAGTGATTGAAGGCTCATTTTGGGAAGCTGATGGGTGCTGTCTGCTCTCTGAGATTTCCTGGGAGTTGGAGGTTTTCAAAACTTCATAAAATCTCTTCCTCTTTCCCCTTCCTGAGTGTTTTCTTGTTTGGTTGATCCAAAGCCCCTGAAAAAGTCACTAGGATGCTTGTTAAATACTTTAGATCATGCCCACAGAGCCAGTCTTGTTCCTGCTGTGGTTTTGTTATCCACTTCTTAAAGGACATTTTCAGGCTTGTCTTTCTTACTGAAGGAGTTGGTTTTTATGTCATTTATTCCAGCAAGGAGCAAAAATATATTAATCAACTTTCATTTCTATTATATGCAAGTTTTTTCTCTTTACAGGCGGGAGAGTAATTAGTTTAACTTACTTTACCTTGAAAACAGGAATATATTCTGGTGCGTATTTTACAGTTATTAAAATTATCACCATGGAAACCAAGACTCTAAGTGGAGAGATAAAAAATGGTTGCATCACAAACATTGCATGGAGAATTGCATTGGGAGGCAGCTAAATATTAATTATTTTATTTTCACCATAGTGCAGTCAACAAAAATACAAGAATTTATCTTTGTGACTTAGAAAGGTAAATTTGGTGGAGGAATTAATTTCTCCTTGACTTATCAAATTGCCACAAACCTAGTATTTCAGGTATTTATGAAGGCAGAGTATCACTCAGGACGCAATGGACTCAGTGTGAGACCTCCAGCCCTCCAGGGTATATTCTAGTTCATTGAGAAGTATATGATAAACTTCTCATGTTTTAGGGAAATCCCAAATTCATTCTTTACTTCATAGCAGTAAAAAGGTGTTTCAAAAATACAAATAAACTGCATTCCACTTGTGGATTTCTTACCATTTTTTTCCCTAGTGTAAAGATTTTAGAACAGACCACAAACAAAAACCTTTTTCCACACAAGTGTGCCCAACTGCATGCAGATTCATACACTAAGTGTTTAACCCACTTGATTTGGGAACAAAATAATAGGCTGTGAACATTGCAAGCAATTGCAACTGTCTGGTTACCACAAATCCATCTGTGAGAAATGCTAATAGGAGTGGTCAGTTTTGTCCTTGTGCAGTGGATCTCAAAACCACAAGAATAAGCACAAATATGGAAACTCTGTTTCTAAAACAGGTTGGCTCTGACCATATCTCACTTGAAGGAGAAACATGTCTTCCCCTGGATATTTGCTGGTTCTATTACTTCTCCATGTAAATGGAAAAATAGATGTTAAACAATCTGTATAACTGAACCTTTTAAACCAAAAAACACATTATTTTAATAGGGTAAAAACCTGAGAAAGAGTGAGGAGAATCTGCTGTTGTCAGATACAGATGAAGACATCACGAAAGAAGAAGAAGATTATTACCAAACTCCCAGCAATATCTTAGCAAAGGTAGTTTATCAGTTGCAAGTTCTGCTGCTTTGTTATAACTCCAAGGAGACAAGAGATATTTAATGGGCCAAAGAGCAACTGGTATGAGGAACCACTCGTACCTTGCAAAGTAAATACATAAATATAGAACTAGTTAATAGAGCTTTCATTTGTACAAGAAAAAATACACTGGACTCATTCAATGGATCTTTCTGGTGGAAAGTGGCATTTTGACAAAAACATTGCTGTTTTTGTTGAAATTCCCCAAATGGACTGGTTCATTATAACAGGTTTCTGCCTACTGGAAAGTGAAAACTTCATTTAGAGAATAGTACATTATGTATTTTAAAATGTAATTCTGTTGAATCATCAATAAGTTGCAGAAAACAAAGCAGTACTTTAAAAATACTGTTAAACATGGGAGCAGGAGGAGTCATACTGGTATTTTTAAATACATTTTGACACCTAATTTGGGAGGGTAATTTATCTAGGCTTCCCATGGAGTTAGTCTTCAGGAGAAGCTAAGTGGTCAGTTTCTATATGATTTTGTCGTATAGTCTAAGAGCTTTAAATTAAGGTCACTCTAAGTATGAGACTCTTGCTTAAATTCAAATGTAAAAAACATGTTTATTGTAGTGCTTTAGAATATAGCTGGCAATGTCCCAGCCTTGAAGTGTCAATAATATCAGATAGCATCAACTTCTAAGTTTAAACCACCTTTCCAGCTGATGTTTTCTGGGAATTTATGTATCTGGGGAAAGCCAAGCTATATTAGTCATTGTGTTTAAACAGCATGAGTGCTGAACAAAATAAAGAAATTAAGATTATATTTTTTTTTCTGTAGACAGAGCAAGGATATTCGTGTCTTAATATTGTTACATGTTCCCAATAGTACCCTACTGAAGTATCAAAGCCTGTCCCTACAGCTGGGTCTGATGTCCATCTGGTAGAGGCACCAGTGCAGGACAACCCCATAAAGGAGGACATTTATATGCCAATGAAATCACTGTAAGTAACAACTTTATTAAGTTTTTTTAAATTAAAAGTGACAAAGTGGCACAGTTAGACCTGTCTGTCATCTGTGGTATCTACATAACATATCTAGAGGCTGCCTCTTGTTTGAATGAGTCCTTCTTTGGTCTTGGTTCAGAAAGTTCAGAACTTGTGGGAATAGCAGAAGGGAATTCAAACTCACCAACGTGAAATTTAAATTCACGTTGCCGACTCATGCATTTAGACAGGCTCTGACTAGAGGATGCAGCACTTTTTGTTGACTCATACTTTTTCTAGGTTTTCATGATATAACAACCCACCTCTTCACTCAAATGATGCAGCCAAGCTCCAGCAACCTTTCAGACAGGTGCTCTCCAAAGCAAGCAGCACTTTCTAGTGGTTAAAAGAGAAAGGTAGCTATGGGGAATTATCTCCAAGCTTTTCCAGTAAGAATTTATCAGATCTTGAGTAGGTCATCTCCTTCTATTTTCCCATCCAAAGAACAAGTTTGATGCTGTGTATTTTGAAGATATAAACATGATGTTTAGGATGTCACAAAGACACACCTGAAGTTTATGTCACCGTTTTAGTGCCACAAGGAAACTCTGCAACCTCCATGATGTAGCACAGTATACTGAGGAGATGTGTGCCTCCAAGGAAAAGCCACACCTCCCGCTCCAGGGGACTGGTCACTAGATGTTAAGCTGTGCCACCTACAGACAGTCAAGTCTTATGCCACATGGTGGGAGACAACTGAAAATGCAGACCCACAGACCAATTTATTCCAACTGATTTATTCAAGCTCCTCTGTGGTTTTGAGAGCCGCTGGAGGAAAACCTCACATAAAAACCTCATAACCCTTTGCCATCTGAGTTAAAATACACCAAGAGCAGTTTTGCAACTAACCCCAGTCTTGTTTGGGGTGTGGGAGGGAGTTGGTTCCAAGTGTTAAAAGGCTTATTAAACCTAAAATGTGTTCAAGCACATCTGAGTTATTGTATTTCCCAGGGGACTGTGTTACACCCCTGCAGAAGCCAGAATAGCGAAGGCCAACAATCTGTACTCACTTTCTTTGTCAAGGCATGTTGTTAGCTGGAATGCATTCAGGCTTGGTAGTCTTTAAATACTGAAAAGGTTTATTTTGGGATTTATGGTCCATTTTTAGGAGGCCTGTTTATTTTACTTAGCTGTAATTTTGTCCACTGGATAGTCTGCAAGAACTTGTTATTCTTTGCTTCACTGATGGCTGCGTGATCCAGCTTCAAACACAACAAGAGTGTCTGGAATGGTCAAACCAGATCACTTTTTAGCACCATTCCTCTTCAGTAGGTTGATTGACAAGAGCTGCCAGCTCACATGCAGATATGATGGGCTCCCATCTCCTCCCAAATGTCAAGACAACAGTGTTTGTCCAAAAGACTTGGAAGCAAACAGAGACCTAAAATTCCCAGAAAGCAGCAGCAGCCAGCAGCCAGCTCTCCAGAGGAGGCAAAATTCATTACCACTTTCTGTGGTTCAGTTATCTATACTGCTGAGGTAAGTGTCTTCTCCATTTTTGTTGCAGAGTGTTCATGGCTTTCAGTTGAGGCAACTGGTAGATCGTGCCAAGCCTGTCAGAGTTCAAGGAATATGTGAGCAACGATCTCACTCATATGATTTAGTTTTAGGTAGCCCTGCAAGGAGCAGGGAGTTGGGCATTGTGATCCTTATGAGTCCCTTCCAACTTGAGATATTCTATAGTTCTATGGTCTCTGATGTTTTCTCTCACAGTCAAGTTACAGATGAGTCCCAGCTGCAGAAGTTGGATATTTTCATCCCCCTGGCTGATATTAACAGTTACCTAAAGCTTACTGAAGCAGCAGGACACATATGGTAAGTTCTGGATATCTTGTGATGGTGCCTGTCAGATGTGAAAGAGTGACAACCAGGTACAGGAGTGCACACCCTTACACATCCATGTACAGCTTTGGCAGTGCAGAACAGGGCAGGGTCAGTGTGTGCTGGTACTTTGGTGATTCTTTTCTGCTCTTTATGACTCTTCATGTACTTGAGTTTCTATTTCAACTGCTGTTGAAAGGGGCTGTATAGAATCAAGATACCTCAGTACCTAAATAACTGGATCTACATCTAAATTTACAGAGCTGTCTCAGTGGAAATTTATGTTGAAATAATTTGGGGCTTCTGGAAAGGAACAGAGCACTGGCTCTGCCTATCAGGTCAGGTCATCATAGTTTGTCATCCAGGAGAGTCTATTAGAGAACAGAAGGAAAAAGATAATGGAATTTCCATAAGGGTCCCATCAGGACAGCAAAATATCTCTGATCTTTGCAGTTATATCCCAGATAAAACACATAATAATAAGTGTTAATTTCATTCTTTTGGGATGACTTAAAAAAATCACCTCAGTCAAATGTCAGGCTAAAACATCTACAGCAAGTCTAGCCTGCTGCTTTTGGACAGGAGTCCCCAGGTTTCACTGGTGACCTGGCTAGCACCAGTCTCACTTCTTAACTTGCTGCAAGACCAGTGTCATGTGCCCTTTTAGGAGGACCTGTTGGGATGGATGAAGCAGCTTGCTTTCAGCTAGAACCAGATCAAAGAGATGAAAAGTCATTCAGCCTGTGTGTTGTTTCCAGAGGGCAATACCACAAATGCAGTCCTGTCCAGCCATTGCCATTCTGTTTGCAGTAACTGGACATCCCATATGTTTCCTTGATTGTCTGTCCTCCAAACACTCTAGTGTTTCACAGTGGACTGGTCCCCACCGACTGGGATGTTTGTTTAACCATGGAGACCATATAGTGGCTGTGAATGATCTGCAACCCCAGGATGTAGAGGAGGCTTACTTATTCATCAGCAGGTCCACAAGAAAGGAGGTAAGCTGGACTAACTTGAAGGTGATAATCAAATGAACCAAGCCAAATAAGAAAGCAAGCTGCTTTTTGCATTTTAAGTGGCTCCATTCAAACCAGTGTTTTAAGTTTGGTTGTGAATAATTCAGTACCAAATAGCTCCTCAGTGTCATTCTGATGTAGCACCTCCTGTTCCTGGGCTGTTTGGGGAATGCTAGGTCGGCACTGCTGTGTGTTTTGGGACTTGATCTCAAAGAGGCTGAGCAACCCCAAGATACTTCTGGGCAACTGTAAATTGGAGTTACTTGGTATTTTTTGGCTAAGGCCCGTGAATTGCAAACTCTGGGAAATAATTGCCTCCAGTAGATGTGTAATTGCTTATGGTGCATTTGGGTACCGAGGGCAGAGCCCTAGACTCATCTCCTGCTAGTTATCAAGCACTATCCACCTCCTTGTATGATACCACTCCTTTTGAAGAAGGTGGGCTATTTCTAAGTGGTGCCTTAACACTACTGTGATCTACTGCATGTTGATATGTATGTTTCTCTCAGATAGACTCGTATTTCAGTATCCAGGTTCTCTGACTCATACCTGAACCCATAAATGCGGAAACTTGCTGAGAAAGTTGAGGTCATCAAATACCATTAGCATCTAAATCAAAGAAAGCCAGTCTCAGCAAGGAAAAAACCACTAATTTCTATGAATGGAGCATTGTTATTTAGCTAGTTAAAATACAAATCAGATAGCAGCATAAATTTTGATCAGATATAACACGCTACAAAAATGTCTCTTTTTTTCTTTCCTAAGGTGAAACTTACTGTATGTAGGATTCCACATTCTGATATCTTCCATGTTAAAGGCTGTTCAAGTTCCTGAAAAAAAGACCTCAACAATTAAGACAGTGCCAAAACTCAAGGAAAAAGATCAAGGAGAAGAATGTGATACATAGTGTATAGAAAGACCCTTTATCCTTTAGAGCTGCCAGACATCATCTGTTGCTGAAATGCAAAGAATAGAGAACATGTATTTTATTTTTATTTCACCTCCTAATAACTTGTTTTGTTGACATGAATGGCATGTGTTTGGTTTGTACATCATGTTGGCATGTACTTCAGCTACATGAAAAAATAAGAGGGTCAAATGGTTTATGAAACCTTTGCACTGTGTATACTTTGTACTTCAGCAGAAAGTGCTGGTTCACATCTCTGCTCACCTCTTTACTCTGAGTTTCACTGATTTAAACTGAACTCCCAATCAGTTAAGAGTTGAGGAAACAACCCACATTTGGGAAAAAAAACCCATGTTTTCCCTTTTTTCCCCTTATCTTCAGAAAGGCAAAGGCAGGCTGAGAGCCAGTGTTGGAAGGAAGGCTGGTAAAGAAAGTGTTGTGCAGTGATGCAGTGGGGCCTGCTTGTTGTGTTATACACCTCTTATGTTACAGCCAGAAAAATACATTCCAGGGATGACAGGAAATAGAGCTTGTTGGAGAAAAGGAATGTGGAGCACCTATGGGTTCACTGGCAGCCAAAATTAGCCCAAAGTGAAGAATGAGAAATGAAAAAGTGAAATGGATTTGGGAGAGAAGAAGGCTAGGCTGCTTTGGGAAGGTGTTACTAAAGGCAGTTGGAAAAGCAGAAAGAGAAATTATATATATGAAGGCCTGAGCACCCAGCCCAATGCAATCAGAGTTCACTGAAAGAGTTTTGATGCTACCAAGTGCTTCCATAGGGATGTCACTGGTACCACAGCATTTCCAGAGCAAGCACACATTTGTTTCCCAAACAAAGACATTTCCTGTAAATATTTGTTAATGTCTTGCTCCCATTACTGTTGCAGAATCATGACTGATATTTAGTTAGTGCCACACCAAAAGGTGTTGTTGCTTGGCTGTCTGCAGGGGTGCTCTTAGTGGGTGCCAAAAGGGAGCTTTGTCCTGTACCACAGTGACCTGTTGCTTACAGAAAGAGGGTGTGATCTGGCATGTATGCACAACACATACCTCTTCTCTCTATGGATATCCACTCCTTTTTGCTTGTGTGCCAGTGTATTTGCATACATATATTTTGCTGTAAGATAGATTGTGTTCATTTACAATGATGTGGCAACAAACCGAATCACTGGTTTTGAGTTGAGATTGTGTTATTTTGCCACATACAGCCAAAATAACTACTACATTTACAAGGCATAGGATTATTGATATTAGGAGATTGAGCTAAACTTTGATCAAGGTGGATTTGGCCCAGAGGAGGTATTTTTCCAACTTTCAATTGAATTAGGCCAAGTCAGCTACTACAGTAAGTAACTACACTCACTAAAATCAGCATTGATGCCACTTACTCCAGTAGTAAATCTGACAACTGTGCTTTGTATACTTCCTTTAAAATCCAGCCTGCACTTCTAAGAAGTTGCTATAAAATTTTGTTTAACCAAAGATAAAAACAGCATCAGTAACTCAAAATGAACAAACACAAACATTTACACAATCTATTCAGACTCAGCTTTTATTGGAAAGATTAATTTCCAGACTGAACGTTTCCACAGCCTGTCGCTTCTGCTTTCAAGATAAGAGTGTTTGGGACTTGCTTATTTCTAAGGATGGGAAAGAATCACTTTTGGATATTTCTGTTTCAGTGGTGTTCCAAAGTCTGTGCTGACTTCTGCACAATGACAGAGGGAAACCCCAGTTCTGGAGCTAGAGGCTGAAAATGGAAGAAAATGGGAGCTCTTCTCCAAAGCTGCCATGGGACTCCTTTACTCTGCATTGTCTCTTTGAGCACAGCAAATCCATTTATGCCTGAGCAGCCTCTGAGGGATGGGATGTCTGGCTGTACAGGGATTCTTCCAGCTCTGTAACTGTATCAGCCTGCTCAGACAGTCCTTAAGGTCTAAATCCTAAAATCACAGATTGTCTAATTGAAGAGTATCCAGTAAGCATGTCACTCTCAACCTTTCCTGCCCAAGCTTTGCCTAAACTCTTCTTCTGAATCTTAAAAAAAAGGAAAATCCAAGACTCCTCTCCCTCTATAATAAGGATTTTTTTTTTTCTAATATTTATCCTAATTATTTTTTCAGAAAATCAGCTGATTTTTTTTTTCCCTTGGTTCCAGTGGGCATGGAGAATGCTTGCTTTTCACTTGTCTCCAGAGAAATCTTCATTCTGGAAGGTGTTTTTTCTGCCTGTTCTTTTTTTTTTTGTTCTTTTTTTTTTTTCCAGACCAAACATCCTGCATTCTTCCAATATTTTTTCAGACATTTCCTGAAAATGGTCATGTGCCACTGAGCTATGAGACAAATAACTCATGCTTCCAGTTATGGGTAAACAAAGGAGGTGAGACAACCATGGAGCAACTTACTGGAACTCCATAGAAAAACTTTGCCAAAAAGAGGTGAGCTGGCAAGGAAGCTGTGAACCATACCTGGTGGTGGA